TTTTTAACAATCGACAACCTTTCAGCATCACTGAAATCGACACCTTTGACGCCCGTACATTTTTTATATGTATGTGATTTGACTCTGGCAGTCTGTAATACAGCGCTCGCTATTGCATCACTGAGATCGACAACCCTTGGTGCCCGTGTATTTTTTTTAAACATTTTACTGTGATATGACAAAAGACACAGCGCTGGCTGTTGCGTCACTGAAATCGACAACCCTTTTTTTTATTAACAAAGCAGATAGACATCACTGAAATTGCGCTCGCTATTGCATCACTGAGATCGACAACCCTTGGTGCCCGTGTATTTTTTTAAACATTTTACTGTGATATGACAAAAGACACAGCGCTCGCTCTTGCATCACTGAGATCGACAGCCCTTTTTTTTATTAATAAAGCACGATAGACATCACTGAAATCGCGCTCGCTATTGCATCACTGAGATCGATAACCCTTGGTGCCCGTGTATTTTTTTTAAACATTTTACTGTTGCGTCACTGAAATCGACACCCTTTGACAAACCCATTAACACATATGCTGGCCGAGTACGGTCACTGGCCGTGATCGGTCACTGGCCGAGTAGAATTCTGGCCGAGTTCGGTGGTCACCATGTGAACACGTGACTGTCTGTCCGCGAAGAAGTGTTATGGTCAAAGTCCATGCGATAATAAACAAACATCTGCAGTATTCGTCGTTGCGATAATCATTCTAATGGCTTCGTCAGAAAACGGAGAGTCTCCCCTTATTCGCGATGACACGACAGCATCCAGAAAGGAAGAGCGCCGCTCTCACAGGGGCTTGTCGACTGACCGCGAAAGCCCCTTGGCGAGAACTTCGTTCTCGCCAAGGGGCTTCGCTGCCTGCGACCCGAGAAGAGGTCTTCATCGATATTTGGTCTTAATTTTGATGTGTTTTCTTAGTTTCGGTAAGGAACGATGCAGTTTAACGACGGGGGAGGGGGAGGGGGTGGGGGTAACTGGACAACCTTGAGACTGTGTTGCAGCTAGGATATGGAAACATCTACCGTACTCCGGTTACTCCATAAAATATTTGATGAAAAGAATGTTAACGAATGCACTAACACGACTGAAATAAGTCTAGGATTTCGAAAGTAAAATTCACCAAGATTATATGATTAATTTATCAAGTACTTATAGAGAAATTATTGTCAAAAATATTCTCCTTGGAATATTTGTTTGAAAAATTGAGAACAATAATTCACTATTTATCAAATGTGTGGCTCTCGTAGAAGTTGTATCCCCTCTGTTGCTTTGTATCATTCAATAAAAAACGTGGTTTTTAATACATATTTACAAAACCTGGTTGTCAAGTGGGATAACTACCTGTCCATTCAAAGATGTAGTTGCCCAATTATTTTATTGATTTTTAATCTAAACAAATATTACAAATACTACTACTACTACTACTACTAATATTTTGATTAACACTTACACATTCCCCAGAGGAATTGGCTACATGTAACTTCACATAGAGGTAAGGAGCTTTGTTTAAAAGGGAGGTGATCATCACACTATTCAATATGGCCCGGGACCCATAGCTTCTTGTACAACCATGTAAAATACTTTTTTTCCAGCAAAATGTTAATACTGCACTGGACTACAAATAATGAATATAGATGTTGTGATTTTTATTGTGATCACCATACAATATGTGCTAAAATTTTGTCAGACTATTTACTAGTCAATCTGATTAAAATCTATTATTTGACATGAATATTCTAAAAACGTATTCTCGGGGCGAACATTTTCACTGCCTGGCAATCATCAAAACAAAGTCTGAAAATCACAGAAAACTCTGTACTTTGGGATGATTGTTGAGACTCCCCTGAACAGTGTAACAAAAATACCCCTACTTGTGCAACATATATAAATTTTGTTGCTTACTTCAAACTTGAGTTGTTTTCACCGCCTCGTTGACCGGCGTTCCACAGCAGATCGCACAGAGCCCATAGAAATATATGGTATAGTGGTACGTGTCATAGCAACATAGAACGTTCTGTGACGTAGCTCCACCCCCCGAGAATAGAATGTCTTCAATTCTGATGACCCTTGTTGACCCTTATAGGATACATAGTCAGCAAATTTTCTTTTAACAGAGTGATCACTGAATGTTATCTGGACAAATCTGTTGTTATTTAATTCAGCATCTACACATGACCTATTACTTTAGGAATAGTCTGTTTACTAAAAAAGATCTAGTAACCGTGGTTTAACTGTTCCCAAAGTGAGAATCGGTCGGGACAGTTACACATATGCAAGAGATTATGCATAATCCCATGTGACTGAAAATTGATTAATAAGTATACAAAAGCAGGATGTGGTAGGTTACGAATCAAAGAACAAGCTATTTTGATTGTCATTAAATTGTTTTATTTATTTGATGTCAATCGGCACTTTGCATTCCATCCACATTTTGTCATCTTCTAATAAGTTTACAAGCCTAATATTATTTTATTATCATTATTTTCTATTATAGGAAGTTACTATGTTTATGACAACCCGGCTGCATTACAGAAACATATGAAAGATGTGAGTAGAATATAATTATTGAACAATATAATTATTAAGTGTGGAATTATACAATGGTCCTATTAAAGTTGTTTATTAGTCGCAGTTGGACATTGTTCAAACTGGGCTCTGTGCCCATGTGTCAGTTCGACATTACTCAGACATGCCCAAACTGATTTTATTCAAACAAAGACAAGTCATAATGTGAGATAATGGATGTCATTTTTTTTTGACCTTTTCAAACCACCATAAATCAACATTTCAACAGTTTCTCAGGCATGCCATGTTCTTTCAAATTTGGTATTGATATCACGATTTGGCTCAAAATAGTTGCTTGTTAGATACACTTTTAACACATCACCTACAAATTGCTTCCATGGATAGTCTATGTGAAATGGTATCAACAGGTGACATGTTAAGTTTGGTACAAAGGTCAAGACTGAATTGGGTTGAATGTTTCAATGAAATTAAGCCGACTTGTAGCCATAAAAAACATAGTTAAACTACACATGGCTTGTCCTGTATTTGTAAGGGTGGGCAGATCTTAGTGTATAGTGAGGGTATTATTACATATGTTAGGGTGATCACAGCATAAGATCATAGGGTGGGGAAAGTCATCTATGCATACAGATTAACCATATATATAAATTGGAAAGTAATCACCCAGGGTTTTACATCATTTTTACCTTGCCCGTACCATCAAAGATGGAAGGGAAAGGTATATTAAGGGAAAAATTTTGTCCGGCGTTGTCGTCGTCGTCGTTGTTGTTGTTGTTGTTGTCGTCGTCGTCGTTAATAATTGTTATTGTGTGCATAATACTTTACT